CTGAGATTCATAAAAGGAAAGCAATTCAGCCTTCCTAAGCACTAAAGGAAGCCAAAGTCATTGGATGGTGTGTGTGTGTGTGTGTGTGTGTGTGTGTGTGTGTGTGTGTGTGTGTGTTGGGGGGTGGTATAAAATCTTCATGGCTCAGGCCCCCGATTCCTGCATGTTATATTTAGGACAATCAAAACTGGTCGGAAGAAAGAAACAAACTGGAAAGATACAAACCCCTACATTACAGTGGGGGGGGGGGAGCAAGATGAAATCTCATCCAAGCATAAGTCAACTGTCCCCACTCGAGGCTGTGGGAGGCTGTGGCCCTGTTTGCCTGTCTGTCAGACTTGGCAGTGTGGTGTGATTGGATCTGAAAGCCTGAGAAACAAGGAGATTTGGGGTTGGACATGAATAATCTGTGGTCTAGGTACTGTTGCTTATAGGGTTTAAAATGCTGCAAATGAGGCCTCTGGGACTTGATTGCTGCCTGGTCCCGAGTCATCCTCCCAGGACTGAGAAGTCACCTCAGGACTCTGGAATCTGGGGACAGGACTGATGACATGTGCCAAAAGAGACGTTTTTAAAAATCCCTCCCAAGGGCACACATGCCGAGCTTTTCCATCAGCGTTTACAAAGCACCCTGATTTCTCGTTCCCTCTTCCCATCACCCCTGCAAGGTGTCCTGATGACGTAAGTGCAGAGGAACCGTGGGTCATTTTTCCTGGGTGCCCACACAGGTGGGAAATGTGGAGTCACCATCCAAGACGGTACCCGAGCTGCCCCGAGCTGCTTTACTCTGACCGCCAGGGCTCGGCAACTGAGCGTTTAGATACATTGAATCAACCAGTTAGATACAATGAATCGGCCAGTTAGATACATTGAATCAACCAGTTAGATACATTGAATCAACTAGTTAGATACATTGAATCAACCAGTTAAATACAATGAATCGACCAGTTAGATACATTGAATCAACCAGTTAGATACATTGAATCAACCAGTTAGATACATTGAATCAACCAGTTAGATACATTGAATCAACCAGCCAGTGCAAGAAGAGACAGCATCCAGGCCTGTAGGAATCTCCAGAGCAGTGAACACAGCCGCTGTTGTTTTCCAAACTCCATGCTCTTGCCCAGAGCCTCTGAAGTCCTACAATCATTTGGCATCTTGTAACCCTTTTCCTAGCTCTTGCTCTCCTTTTCTATTCCCTACTTCCTGCCTCAGGGCCTTTGTGCAGGCTGGAAACCCCCACCTGGGCTCCCTCCCCTCTGTCTTTCTGTTGCTGACTGTCTCCTCAGTGTTACTTTGTATAAGAATGGCCCCCCAGAGTCTCTAGGCCCTAGTCCCTGATGGCTACCTCAGATGGCCAAAGGGGACATGCCCGATAGTACTAGGTGATCTGTGTGGGCCCTAAATGTAACTGTCCCATCACCCGGGAAGCCAAAGGAGATCTGACCAAAGCGGTTGACAAACCATGGAAACAAGATGTCCTGTGGTGGCTGACCTTAAGATGGGGGAAGAAGCTAGAAGCCGCAGTGGATAAAGCCAGAAGCTGGGTCTGGCCTCCCTGTCAGTCTAGTGAGGACCACTCACACCTTCATAACTGTAAAATGATGCCACAGAGTCAGGGTAACTTGCTAGAAACGGAATACAATTACTTAGAGGGGTCTGCGCCTGAGTGGCCTTGCTTCCTCAGAGGGTGTGTGAGGAGGTCCAGACAGACCACTCCGGGAAGCTGCTGCTCCAAAACTCTTCTCAACTGAGTCACCAAAAGCCCATTCCCAGAGATCTCAAGTATTTTGTCAGAGTTAGGACAAACACCTGCTTCAGCCCACTCATCCCACAGATGTAGAAACCGAGGCTCAGGGAACCCTGCAGCTGGGCTGAAGGATGGGGTTACTGTCAATCAACCCTTTCAATGTCGGCCCTTCAATGCCATTTGGAGTTTTCACCGTGAACAATTGTGCAGGCTGCCGATGGCTTGGCAGTGATTCCATAATGACCCAATCATGAAATAATCTAGCCGTCCAGATTCGAATTGTTTGTGGCTATCGTGACTGGATAACTGGCTAGTTAATGCTCATTCCCAGAGAGCCAAGCATATGGCTTTACAAGGAAACCAAGCCCTGAAATACTTGTTAGCTCTGATGATAATTACTAAGTAATTGGCTAGAACACACCATTGTGAATTGATCTAGAATATGCTAGGCAATTATCTAGTCATATGCTCCCTGTAAAAAATAAAACCAAGGTGCCCCCAAATTGTTCTAGTCGGTTGGCTAGCCTCCAACAATCCACCGCTAGCAGTCAATCATGTGGATGCAAATGATTAATCAAATCACTCAGATATCTGGTCGCAGATAGAACGCTCAGATGGGCAGTCTTCAGGACCAACACGTAGATGGAGCGAAATGGGGGACACACCGAGCGCTCCTATGATAAATGCATAACAACGAAATAGTCGGAGAATAGATGCTACTTCCTCGGGGTTCATCTGGTATCCTCCCACAAAACCCCAGACACTCCAGAGACCAATTCTACGTCCCAAAGCCGCCGGGGATTTTTTTTTTAATTGGGGTGCCAGGAAAAGGCTGGGTGCTTTGTGGAATCTACGGGTTGTTATGGCACGTGGGGCCGGGGCCCAGAGTTCTGTCGCAGAACAGAAGGGCTGCAGCGCAGCTGGGCTTGAGGGATGAGCAGTACATTCCCATAATGGCCACTCATTTTCTGAAGCTACAAATGGGGTCCGGACATGTGCAAGGAAACACTCTTTGGGAAAGGGGGGGGAGGCGCACAAAAGGAATGGGTCGCTGAGATCCATGGGTCGCCAGACTTGTACGTCTCGAGTGAGAGGTTCCAAACTTCTGGGAGAGAGAAGTTGCTTCCTGATGAGAGAGAAGCACAGAGTGCAGAGGGGGACCCTGAGGAGGGCTGTCAAAGCAACCATCTGTGGGCCTTTCCCTGCAGAGTCTGCCATTCAGAGGGCAAGTCTTTCTCCCTAACTTGAATCCAGTTGACCACGAGGAGATGCACCGGCCGATGGTTGTCAGCCAGTACGTGACCGACCAGTGGAGGCATGAAAAGCACCTGTGCATTTAACCTTTGACCCCTCGCTGTACCTGGGAAACAGAGGCCACCATGGGAAAGACCCGAGCTGGAAGTCACGTGAAACAGAACTGAGACACCCCAGCTGACAGGGTACTGACTAGCACCCGGGTCTACAACTGACCTGATCCTCGTCGCTGCCTGCCAGCTGACCACAGCCAACCAGCAGGGTCAGGCCACAGAACAGGACTCAATCCAGAACTATCCCCGGGACAGAGGGAAACCACTGAGCTACGGAGTCAGTCCTTTACTCTGCACAGCATATGAAGCATTTGTAGACTGCTCCCTGAATTGAAGACTGGAGAGCCACTTCTGGCTCGGGTAGGCATGAGATCCCCTGCTCTTACATTGGTTCAAGGAGAGGTAAAGGCCTCTGCCACCATCCCCAGGCCTCACAGGCACTTGGCATTTGATACCCGAGCCATTTGCATAACCCACGATGACATGATAATTCTTCTGCCACCGAAGTCTAATTAAACAGACTCAAGGGAACAGACTGAAAATACACCACCTCTGCTGAAGGCTGCAGCCCCTTCCCTGACACCTTCCACGATGAGGGACCAAATCGCGGTGAGAGGCTACTGCTTGAGCTGTGTCCTGGAAGCAGAAGGTTCCGTCTGGCATCCCCAGGCCACACCCAGAATCCCACAGCTGTAGCCAGCTCCAACTGACATAACAAGGGAGGATTTGGAAACACATCAAAGATGGGTTCATAGCCACTCAAGTGTAACCAATGCTACTTCGCTTTTTCAAAGTGTCTCACGTTGCTGGGCGAGGTCAGAGAGCTGTTCACCACCACCCACCATCTTCCTGTGTGTGGACGTGTGTGTGTGTGTGTGTGTGTGTGTGTGTGCGTGCGCGTGCGTGTGTGTGTGTGCACACGCGCGCGCGCATTACACATACGCATGTATACATGGAGGGCAGAGAGCAACCTTGACTGTCATCTCCCAGGCTGCCCATCTTGTTTGTGCGAGACAGGGTCTCACACTGGGACTTGGGGATCTCTGAGTGAGCCAGACTGGCTCACCAGCCAGCCCCAGGAATCTCCCAGACCCTTATCATCCCCATATTTGAATTATAATCAGGCATCACCACCACACCTAGATATTTCTTATCCATATCCTGGGATCAGACTCAGGTACTGACTGGCACATCTCTCCAGCTTGTGTGTGTGTGTGTGTGTGTGAATATATATATATATATATATATGTTCCTATGTTTGTGGGTGCTCATGGATATGAGTTTACATGAATGTGAAGGTCAAGGTTTTACATCGGTGTCACCTACCATTTTCTTAAAGTTGATCTCTATTAACGACCCTCCCCCCACCCTGCCCCCAAACCCCTGCAGCCCATGCATGCTGGACACTCAGGACAAAGGTGGTAACAGCTCCATAAACATTCTGTGAACCAGTGAGAGCCACAATCATAGCCATCAGCATCTCAGATCAAACTATGGGGCAGATCTGGCCCACCACTTGGGTTTACAAATAAAGTTTTATCGCAACGCTGCCATGCAAATCCATTCACATATCATCTATGGCTGCTTTTTTTGTGTGACAGTGGCAGAACCAACTTGCTAAGACAGGAACTGTTCAGCCTGTGAGGCTGATTCACAGATCCCACTGGGCCTTGACCTCAGTTGGCTGACCTATGTCTAAAGCAATCCACTCACTTTACATAATCAGAGACAAGAGTCGGAGACCCACCTATGCAGGGTAGAGGTCAGACATGGCTTTTCTGGCTCCTAGTGCAGTGCTTTTCCCACACACTGCTAAAGCCCCGAAAACATTTGCTAGGGGCTTAAAAGATTGGGAGTGAACCACATGGATGGAAGACCTGAAGACACTATTAGCCTGAACGAAGCCCTGGAGAGCCCCCATGGGAGCCGAAGGGACTGACCTGGTGATGATGGCCAGGTGGGGCGGGCTCATGCAGGCTCCCATGAAGAGCACCACGTTCTCATGTCTGGTCTGCCTGTAGGCCATCACCTCCCGCTTGAAGGCCTTGAGCTGGTCCTCATTGTCCCTCTCGATGTCAATCAACCGGATGGCCACCTCCCCGTGCCAGCGTCCGTGGTACACCTGCCCGAAGCGACCCTTCCCGATGAGCTCGCCAATCTCTAGCTGCTCAAAGGGGATGTCCCATTCCTGAAGGAAGATGCTGGTCTGGCTGGCCTTGCGTGGGAAGCTCCGGGCCGAGAGGAGGGACAGGTTCATCTCCTCAAAGTCATCCTCGGACTCCTCCGCTTCATCGTGGCCTTCTTCATTCTGTGGCCAGAGGGGAGAGAGGTCAAAGCCATGGCCACCCCAGCTCCACCCTCCCTCGGGGCCTGTTGGGTACCATGTGTGCTGTGGAGGTTCAGGACACACTCCGTATTTCCATAGGTAGACAGAGCTGGTTCCCAGGTGCCTTTGAATCAGAGTCAAACCGCAAGGAATGACTTAAAGAGGAGTCAAGGTGGCCCCCACCGCCCTGTGCTAAGAGAGGAGAAATGCGGAGGGACCAACTGTTCTAGTTTGGCTGGACTTTGAAGTTTTCACGCTGAAAAGTGACACATCCCAGGATACCTGTCAATCCTGGGCAACCTGGGATGTTGGTCACCCGGGGAGGTCCTCACGCTGGGTCACAGCCAAGCGGAGGGAGACAGTTTAGATTCAGGTTGCTGGATCCCTGCTATCCAGTGTCACTCCTGTTCGCGCTACTGGTTTTGACTGGCTGGACGGTATGTGTGTGAGAGGAACATCAGGCTAAAAGACGGATGTACTGTGTGTCTCTTCGTGTGACACGGGACAACTGTCAGCATGGGCTGCCTGTCAGCCTCCTCCAGGGAATTCAGAATTGATCCAGAGATTGGCCAAGGGCCATCGTTCCAAGCTCTGTAGCTCATGGAAGACCAGGTGGCTGGGAGACATCATCGGAGCAGACAGTTGAGACCCTGTGCTGAACACTTAGACCTAGTGAGCTGGCCTCTGGCCTGTGTGACCTTGGGGAAATTGGCCCACCTCTCTGAGCTTTCCTTTATCTCCCTATAAAGTGGCAGTAAGATAAGAATTTTCCCCAGGGGGTGGTGTGAAATTTTAAGCGAGTTGATGAGTTCTGAAGTTTCTGCCATGGCCTGGCTGCCTACATCAAACATCTGCTGGGATGCCAGAGAAAATGCAGATTCTCGGGCCCCATCTGGATCTATTGAGTTAAAACATCGATAGGTTGGGGCTGGAGAGATTGCTCAGTGGTGACGGACACTGATTGCTCTTCCAGAGGACCCAGGTTCAATTCCCCGCATCCACATGGCAGCTCACAACTGTCTGTAATTGCAGTTCCAGGGGACCCGAGACCCATGGCAAAAGACCAGTGCACGTAAAATAAAAATTAATAATTTTTAAAACATCAGCGGGTCTGCAGTGAGACCTGCGTTTTAATCACATGACTCTTGGGGTTAGTTGTGATCGATCAAGGGAGAATGCATAGGGTTGGGGATATCTAGGCTCAGGGGCATCTTGCCTATTGGGCTCTATTATAACATGTGGGGGAAGAGCAGATACCAGATCCCGTGAGAAGCCCCAGAGACCTCAGTCAGATGACCTAAGAAAGGGACCTCTTCACTGGACCCTAAGTCTATGAGCTGGCTGTCCATGACACTGGTCAGTTCTAGGTGGCTGCTCCCGTCTCAGAACGGAATGTGGGCCTCTTTCCCAGAGCCCTGCTTCTAGATATTTTAGCTCAGGGCACACAGTAGGGCAGAGACGGCAGACCCAATGGTCATTCCCCAGGACATTTCTTTACTCCCTTAGCACAGGTGGAAGGAAGCCCAGAACTTCCTCACCATGCTGTCAAGCTAGCATCCTTGGTGCTCCCACCGCTACTGTATGTTATTTCAAAGGCAGTGGGGCACATCCCCCTTCCCGTCTCCCCCAGCCCTGAGCTAATTTTTTACCTAAAAATGCAAATCACAGGCCAATTTCCTTCCAACTGTCTCTGCCAGGATGAACACAGCTGAACGGCCCATTAGGCGCAGCGCCTGGAGGAGCTACAGCTCCTTAATTGTCCTAGAGTGAGAACATCCATCAAACAGCCCCTGTACCCCACCTCCCCTGCCCCCAGCCCTCTGCGTCATCAACGACATCGGGCAGCTTCGCCAACCTCGAGCCAAAGCCAACTTGCCGATCTCCAAGTCTCACCTCTGAGGTCGGTTCCACTTCAATCTGAAGTAATGGATTTCCTTCCAAGCTGTAAATCAGAGAGGGGGAAAAAAAAAACACCGGTGATCTTACAACTCTGGATTTAAGGTGAGCCACGCTCAGGAGTCCAAATTGGTAAGTTGTGGCCACGTAACCTTTATCTCCCGTGTGATTTAAACACTTGGGTCTGAAACAATTCAGTTGTTTCAGTACAGAAACAACTCACGAGACCATTATTTTAAAAGAATTTCTCCTGGTTTGCTCATGGGTTGCTTTTCTTTACTGCTTTCCGGCTTCAACTAGTAAAGCAGCCTCTTTTTAAGTGGGCGAAAATGTCACAGGTGAATAACTCCTGTGCACTGTGCAAGAATACATCACATTTCTAAACTTCATGTTCAGAATCTCCTAGAGGGAGATTCAGAAAAAAGATTCAGTTTCAATTTTAATTATGTATCTGTGTGTGGGTGCGTACACATGCTTGTGGTACCTATCAAAGTTAGAGGGCAGCTGACCTTCTGGATTTGAAGTCACATGGGGTTATGAGCCAACGGGGATGGTTAGTGTATTTTAAAAAACTTGACACAAGCTAGAGTTATCTGGGAAGAGGAACCTCAACTGACGAGAAAATGCCTCCATCAGACTGGCCCACTGGCAAGTCTCTGGGGCCCTTTCTTGATTAATGATTGACATGGGAGGACTCAGCCCACTGTGGGTGGTGCCATCCCCTAGGCAGATGGTCCTGAGGTGTGTAAGAAATAAAACAAACCATGGGGAGTCAGGCAGTCAGCAGCACCCCTCCATGGCTTCTGCATCAGCTCCTGCCTTCAGGTTCCTGCCTTGAGTTCCTGCTCTAACGTCCCTCTGTGACCGCGTGTGACCTGAGAGCTGTAAGCTGACGTGAGCTCCCTTCTTCCACAAATTGATTTTAGTCATGGTGTTCATCACAGCAACAGAAATAAGATTAGCACACTACCGGACACTGGTGCTGAGAACGAACTCAAGTCCCCTGTAAGAGCTTGACAGGTGCTTTTAGCTGTGGGGCCATCCTACACGGATGCCCCGCCCCCCTACAAGGATTTTAATATCAATGCATCTGTCCATTTATTTTATTCTTCATTCATTCATTCATTTTGCATCCATCCATCCAGGCATGTCTTTAAGAAGAGGCTCTGGAGTTGGAGGCAGGATGGCTCTTGACATAAAGGGACATCTTTTTACTGCTGAAATAACTAACCATAGACAGGTGCAGAGGGGCAGCAGCTACCAGTGAACTGAATAAATGGAGGGTTGTGGGAATTCCCAGAAGAGACTCACTGGCACATTTGGAAGTCCCCGGTTGTCATGGTCTAAATAAGAGTGACCCCCACAGGCTCATATATTAGAATGCTTAATTGCTAGATTGTGGCACTATTTGAAAGGATTAGGAGGTATGGTCTTGTTGGAGGAAGTGTGTCCCTTAGGGTGGGCTTTGAGGTCTCAGAGGCCCATATGACTGAGCCCAGTCTCTCTGTCTGTCTGTCTGCCCGTTCTCTACCCCCATGGATCAGAATGTAGTTCTCAGGGACTTCTCCAGCATCATGCCTGCCATGCTTCCCGCCCTGATGATAACCAACTGACCCTCGGAAACCGTAAGGAAGCCCCCGATTCAATGCTTTCCTTTTATAAGACATGGCCTTGGCCACGGTGTCTCTTCACGGCAACAGAGCGGTGACTAAGACAATGGTGTTGGAGTTGAACTTGGCCAATCTCATGGACTCGAGATATGTAAACAAGAACTTTGCTGGGTGGGGTGGGAATAAACAGGTGTGAGTGTGTGTCATGTGTACTGAGCTCAAAAGCTGCGGCTGTAGTCTGAGCATGGGTGCTGGGGAGAAATGGGGTCTATGTGTGAGCAATGCAAGGGTCGACGGGATGTGTGTTAGGGCTTGTCTGAGTTTGTGGACACACTAAGGGTGTTAGGGATGTGCTGTGTGTTGATGGTATAGTTGGCTGTGTATTCAGAATGTGAGGACACTATCAAATGCATAGTTCTGTGATGGGGATGTGGGGTACAGTCAACGTCCACAGGGGTGTTTGGAGGAAGCTTTCGACACTCAGGGATGTGTGTTTATGGAGCGCAGTGGGGGCAGAGCAGCTTGGCTACCAGACTGCACACAAAACTCAGGGCAAAGCCACCACCAGGAAAACCTGTCCTCTTTCTATTTCTCCGATGGAAGTTTAGCAACTCCCCTACCCACCCTATTGTGGGAGGAGTTTCCCTCTCCCACCCCTCAGATCTCAGGGAGCTAAGGGCCCTGCAGACTGAGTCCATCTACCACCATTCAAGAGCTAAAGAGGAGAGGGAGGGTCACTGTGTGTGACATGTGTCAATCAATTATTTATGGTGCTGCCGTAGGAAGTGGGGACATGGAAGAACTCAGGACAACACAGGCTTCCCTCTCCTTGCCAGTCCCCCAGGGCAGCCCGCTCCTTTCTGCTTCAAGGTGGTCCTCCAGCAGCCGGGGGCTGTTCAGTGACTTCCGGCCGCAGCCTTCCATTACTCCTCACACATTTACACAGATCACAAGCAGCTCCCCGCCCCGACACGGCAGCTCTAGCCAACATTAATAACTCGGAGTTCATCTTGTACAAAGCGTGGAGCTGGTTTGTGAGCCGCGGAGAACTGACCCAGAGATCTAGGTCAGCAAAGCACCCGCCGGCAAGACACTGCTCCTTTGATTTTAGAGATGCACCACGTCCGGCGCTTCACAGAGTCCCGATGCGGGTCAAGTGGGATGGAGCCATTAGGGAGGCAAGAAGAAAAGGCACGCGGGCAGAAATGAGAGCTGTGAAACCCGTCACATCCCAGCGTGGCCCAGACTTGGGGCACAGGCACCAAAGGGAAGGAGGGTGACTTCTCTGCTTGTCTAAGCAGTGGGCCATCCAGGGGATGCGTACACCAAGACAGTTGTGGCCATGTTGTTTACTGCGGGGGGCATGGAGGGAGGAGATCTGAACCCCACATCAGTATGACATTCTATAGTCAGTAAGACACGGCCTATGAAGAGCCCAGAATCGCATGGGAAAAATCAGCGACACCGTATTAAAGATACAACAGGAGTGCACGGATTGTAGGATTGTAACCGCCTCTGTCATGAATCACAATACAGGAACAGGATGAGAAAGCCCGTAGAATGTTCTAGCAGCATGAAATTCCAAGGGGCGAATTTCTCTTCCCTTATTCACAGAACAGAACAGTCTAAATTCTCCCAAATCAGCTTCTGTTCATTTCGCGGTGGTATAAATAAGAGGCTAGCAGGCTCTCTCCGCAAGGGCCCAGAGAGTCAGTATTATTATTATTATTATTATTATTATTATTATTTTTTTTTTTTTTTTTTTGGCTTTGGGGAGCCATATGCTTCTTTATCACCTCTCAACCCTCCTGCTGTACTGAGGAGGCAGCCAGTCATGGCCTGGTATACACACGAGCATGGCAGTGTTTCAATAAAACTTTACTTATAAAGACAAGTGACAGATGGGATTTCGTCTGACAGGCTAGAGTTTGTTGATTCCAGGTAAACACTGTCTTTCCTTTATCTTTTGTTTCCCTTTCTTTCACCCTGTCCTCCCCTCCCCCTTTCTCCTCAGGACTAGGGATTTAACCTAGAGCCTCACAACCAAAGTACATCCTCAGCCCTTTTTAGATGTTTAGATTTTGAGACCTGGCCTTATGGAGTTGCCCCAGCTGGCTTTGAACTTGTAATTCTTTTGCTTTGACCTCCTAAGCATCTGGGATGACAGGCAGGTGCCACCAGGCTTGGCTTAAAGGATACTTTTTTTTTTTTTTTTAAGATTTATTTATTTATTATGTATAGTGTTCTGTTTGCATGTATCCCTGCAGGCCAGAAGAGAGGGAGCCAGATCTCATTACGGATGGTTGTGAGCTGTGCTAGGAATTGAACCCAGGACCTCTGGAAGAACAGCCAGTGTTCTTAACCTCTGAGCCATCTCTCCAGCCCCAAAGGACATTTTTCAAAAAGGGAGACCGTGGTATAAACGAAAGTCCAGCTGTTGCCTGGGACAGCTGTCTGGAATCATGAGGAGGGCCCTGTGAGAAAATGGTGTGACCTCTAGAAACTGTAGTTGCTACGGAGGACCAGAGCCTCGGGGAGAGCTGGCTTGTGGGGACCAACACTGCCTTCTATCACTTCTCTCTCAGCTTGGGGTGCCAGCCCCCCTCTCTCTATTGAGCCATGTCCTGTGTCTTTCTGTCCCCTACTCATCTCCTCCAGGGTTGAGACAAAGTGACAGCAGAGGAACCAGGAAGGCTGAAGGTACCCAAGCCTGGGGTAGGGGGATGAAGTCACTTACATTGTATTCGAGGTGACAGGATGCAGGATGACTTGAGGTGCCCGGGTGGGCGTCTCCGGTACAGGCACCACATCTGAGAGGCAGAGGGCGGATACTCAGTGTTCAAACCTAGAACCCATGACCCTCACCCCCCCAACAGACACAGCAGCCAGCAACCCTCCCCCGTGTTATGGATTCCAATGTTCTCCAGCTTCCTTTCCCCCTGCCTTGCCCACTGAGATGGACCAGCATTCTAGGGATCCTGCATACACATCATCACTGCCAAGGGGGCTGGACAGGATGCCTAAGCATCCACTGACCATCCCTGAATCCTCCTCACCCCTGGGTCCCCTTTGGGTCAAGGGGATCACTCAGTTCACATCTGTCCAGCTCAGGTCCCTTTGGCCTGCTGACCCTCTGGGCCTCCGCCATGCTTGGGTATATCCTTGGGTCCCTTGGTGCCCTTGGCATCTCCCACCCTTACCTTCTCCTCTTCCTTGTCCAGATGTTATCCTGGAGTGTGGAGACCCCACTAGTCTCCTCTCTGCTCTTGACCTCTCTCCACCAGCCCCAGCAATCCCTGCTGCTCAGAGGGCCAGTTCCCAGGACACTCACCTGGGAAGATGAACTGCTGCTTGTATTTGTAGTAGTGGGGAGCTTGCAAAAGACAGAGAACACCAGCGTGAGTGCCACCCGAGTGCTGTCTAGGTGGGCACCAAGCCTCATCCCGACTGTCACTGCACAGGCGTCCTCTGTCCACCCCCAGAGGGTCCACGCTTCAGCAGACACCCCGAATTATAAGGGAATAGGAACATGTGAGACCCAACCACTTGACATCTCACACTCCCTAATGCCAGGCCAGGTCCTCTCAGAGGCACAGTGAAACACACTCACACACACATCACCACCACCACCACCACGAAGCTATAATCCCAAATACTCTCTGCTTTTACAGATCCTTTACACAAATTTTCAGCATCGACCTTCACATTGGACTATTTCCTTTGCACTGTTATCAAGCGACAATAAACGTAATGACTCCCAATAGCACGAACAGATTCCCTTCACAGCAGTGATTCTCAGCCTGTGGGTTGCAGCTCCTGTGGGGGCTGCCTATCAGCTATCCTGCACAACGGATGTTTACGTTACCATTTGTAACAATCACAAAATCACAGTGATGAAGTAGCGATGAAATGATGTTACGGTTGGGGGGGGGGTCCCCCACCCCACCCCAAGAGGAATTCTATTAAAGGGTGGCAGCGTCAGGAAGGTTCAGAACCACTGCTCTACAGACTGGAACAGGAAAATAAGTCTTAAAGAGCCACGGACAAGGTGTGTGGCTTGGACTCCCTGGAGAGTCCCAACAAGTCTTTCGGGCAGGTGGTTTCTCTTCCCCAGCAAGTGTGGGCGGCAGAGAGTCCAACCGGAGCGCTCCTCGGCTCCCCAGCAATTCTCTCCCGTCTCAGCTGTTCTGACATCACTTCCTGCTGGCCTTCTCGCCCGCCCCTTATGTGATCAAATTTAGACTAATCCAGGGTCATCTGCACCCCTCAAAATCTGCGATTTGACCCCAGCTGCCATAACCCTTTTTCCACATTAGTCACAGGCTTGGAGATCGGGGTGTGGACACCCTTCTCTCTTCTCTTTTGCCCTTTCAGAGAGCAGGCCTTTCCCCGCTTACCATAAGCTTGGATTAATCTCTATGTTTAGCAAGAATAATTATACAAAAGATGGTTCCTGAACCTCACTTGCTGATGCTCTTGACAACTTAGTTGACCACTCTGGTCCACTCACCAAAGGCCAAGGTTTCTAATTTGCCCATTTGTTTCTTTGGGGTACGGTGCATGGAGTGTGGGTAGGTCAGACAGTTTACACCCCCATGCCCATCCCCACCCCCACAATAAGCATGGTGGTTGGCAGAGATGGGGTCACATACAAGCTACTGCAGAATCTGGCACCAGAAGCAACGTGACCGCCTCCAGAGACGAGGACTGCTAACTGCCACTTGACTCCTCCCTGGGAGGACCCAGGTCTGGGCCTAGAGTCTAGAAAAGCCCATCCTGCGGCGCTGAGTGTTGGCTCTGCTTACATCCCTGGTAAATTTCAAACCAACCTTTCCATGTCTCATCGTCCACAGACAAAACAGGGACAATACTAGTTCCGGGTACATGATACGGGGACCATCACTCCTCAGAAGTGTGCAATGGGTTCTGAGTGGAGACAGCTGGGGCCTTGGTTCTTCATTGTGCAGATACAACTGATCCAGGATGGAAAAGTCTCTAACGAATGATACGTGTGCCAACCATGGTATATTTTCTTCTGGCTGTGAGGCCCTACGCAACACGTGAAAACCATACAGCTTTCACCCAGAGCTCGGTGTTGTGTGTCACCTAGAGGTGGTTTAGTGTTGGAGCCCACCAAGGCTTCCTAGTGGCTTTACCCAGCAGGCCTGCATAAGAAGATGATTGGACCATGGGCCTGGGTACCAGGTGTTTGGAAGGATCTACACTTGGCTGTATCTAGCAAAGGGGGAGGTCTTTTGCCTCGCCTCTTGGCATTGCTATAAAAAGCCCTTTTGATTAAAGTTCTGGGCCGGTGGATAAGGATCCAGGCCCACCTGAGGCTACCCTGTGTTTCTATCTGTTTCTCTCTCCTCTTTATTTCTATCTAAATCTCTTCTTATCCCTCTCTCCTCTAGAGTCCCTGGGGTAAGTAAATGTGGGGGCTGGTTTCCCATAGTTTAGCGTGTGGAAGAATATGTGGAGATGGCGTGCATGTTCCACAAGGACATGAGCATCCTTGGACTGTGATATTCATGAGGCCCCAGGAGCCCTAGATCTGTGGGGTGAATGCATTAGTAAGTGGTGAAAAATGGACTCCCAGCTCTTTTAACTAACAGACAAGAGTGATTTAGAACCAAGAGACAGACAGACAACTTCAGGTGCTAAACTGTTTCGTGGGGGGATGTAAACACTCCCCTTGAGGCTGGAGTCAATTAATAAGCTCCTTTAGGACAGAAAGTAAATCCTAGCACCTCGGGAGCCCCAAGTCCCCACACAGGTAGGTGGGAAACATGCTGAGGACAGACTAAAGTCACCGCTCTTTATTGAGGACGCAAGAGTGGAAGCTCTTGGCTTAGCCCAATTCCTGGTCTGGGATAGCCTTGGAACGCCAGTGGGGTTATTTTGATTCTGGATCACAGGTGTACAGACCGGGAGACAATTTGTTCCGGGTCACAAAGTACAGCTGTCTAAATCAAAGGCAGCTCTCGAGTCCAGGAGCCTTGTTGGTTACACAGGCCTGTACAAATCTTACACAAAGCCGTTTTGTCAACAAAAGGCTAAAATTATAAAATGGAAAACTACTGCACCTCAGAGGGCCCAGATGATCTCACCACACACCCCACTACCACCACCACACTCTAACTACAGAGCAGGACTGACTCTCTCTCTCTCTCTCTCTCTCTCTCTCTCTCTCTCTCTCTCTCTCTCTCTCTCTCTGTTTTTCGAGACAGTGTTTCTCTATGTGTAGACCTGGCTGTCCTGGATCTCACTCTGTAGACCAGGCTGGCCTCGAACTCACAGAGATCCGCCTGCCTCTGCCTCCTGAGTGCTGGGATCCAAGTCCTATGCCCCCACTGCCTGGCCAGTGAGGGACTCTTAACCAGTCATCAAGGTGGGATGATGGTCAAGTTCTTTCAAGAAACGGAGGACCACATGTTCAAGACTGGCCTGGAGTACATAGCAAGAACTTGGTTTTTATTTATAATAAACGTTGCTCATGTCCTAATCTTGGAGAAGTGTGACTACGTGGGCTTAGATGGCAAAGATTCTTTACAGATGGGTTTAAATGGGCTCTTGACACAGGGGCTATCCTGAGCTATGTGGATGAGCCCAATGTGATTATAAAGGCCACTGTAAGAAGTCAAAGGTCAAAGAGAGTCAATGAAAACAGGTTGTGTCGGTCAGGGTTACTATTGCTATGGTGATGATGAAACACCATGACCAAAGCAACTCGGGGAGGAAAGGGTTGATTCGGCTCATGCCTCCCCATCACTGTTCATCATCAAAGGAAGTCAGGACAGGAACTCCAGCAGGGCAGGAACCTGGAGGCAGGAGCTGATGCAGAGGCCATGGAGGGGTGCTGCTGACTGGCTTGCTCCCCATGGCTTGCTCAGCCTGGGCCCTCCCCGATTGATCACTAAATGAGAAAATGCCTTACACCTGGATCTCAAGGAGGCATTTCCTCAGCTGAGGCTCCTTCCTCTGATGACTCCAGCTTGTGTCAAGTTGACACACAAAGCCACCCAGTGCACAGGGGATGACAGAGGCCCGGGTAGAACAATGAAGGGAGGCGAACATGGAAGTTGGGAAAAAGCAAGGAAATGGTTCCTTCCCCCACGGCCTCCAGGACAACCTGGGCTCGCTGGGCCACGGAGTTTTCTCCCCCGTCAAACCTGCTCTGTCTGGGCTTCTAACCTCAGAAACCTCAGACGCCTTTGTGCTGTCTGAAGCTGTTCAGTCTGGGATCATTTGTCACGGCGGCAGCAGGACTCTGGTATGACAGAGCTATGTCAGGCGGTTCACGGTTCTACAGGAAGTGTCTGGTACACAGTAGGTGCTCAATAGGTGCTTCTTAAGGACAGCTGCCCTCTGAAGGTCAAGAAGACAATGTGAAGAAGAGGAACTAGAGTCCTGGGAAGTGTGTAGGATTTAAGTCATTCATTCATTCATTCATTCATTCATTCATTCAGCAAACACTCCTATCCCATAGGTACTCATATTCACTGGCCTTGGGCACAAAAGGAATGACGTGGTCAGGTTTCCTGCCCTTATGGTGTTGGCGTATGGAGGGGACAGACAGTGAGCAAGCGAATACATCTCCACGATCACATGGCGATGAGGAGCAGGGTTCGGAAGAGAGGAGGCCTTGCCCGAGACCGAGGGGGATCTTAGAAATCCTGCCGGCCCCTGGAGGGTGACGTCACGGTTCATACAGACTCAGGCTGGTCCAGGAGCTGACAGTAGATGACTGGTGGGGGTGGGACTTCCATACAACCTGTGCCACGTGTGCACACACACACACACACATGTGCACACATCACACAGACACACACATACACCACACACATGCATGTACATGTGTACCCCCACACATGCACATACCACACACACATACACACACACCACATATACCACACACACACTAACACACACATGCACACACATCACACAAACACACACCCCACACACATGCATGTACAACACACACACCACACACATGCACATACAACACACACATACACACACACCACATATACCACACACATACAACACACACACCACTACACACACACCCCACACATACCCCATACACACCACACATGTACACAAACGCCGCACTCACACACATACACACATCACACATACACACACACTACATACACACTACTATACACACACAAACACACACACCACACACACACATACACACACACCACATATACCACACACACTACACACACAAGCACACACACCACTATACACACACACCACATATACCATACACACACTATACACACACACACAAACACACACACACACACACACACACACTGCCCAGAGAACACCACAGAAGAAAGGGCAGGAAGAACTACAGAACCAGAAGGGTGGAGAAGAGTTTGATAAAATGTTGCCATCCAGATATGACGTTGCCACAGCAACCATGAACACACAGCAGCAGTGGACACTTGCACAAGACCAGGCCCCGACTGTCCCCACAGACAGAGGAGACGCCCGTGAGGCCCCTCTTCCCCTGAGAACTGACGCCTGCGGGTGTTTGCTGGAGGACAGTGACACTAGAGGACACGGTGGGAAGAAATGATTCGGAGGAAAATAGATGGGGACACTGGAGGGTGATGGGGCGACTACACCATCCATCCATGGCAGGAACATACGAAACCAAAGGAGAAATAAAAAGGAAATCTTGCTGTATCCACCAGACAGACTCTACCCTTTGTTCCTTCATTTTAAAGGCACCACAACATTCTATTTCCTGGGGTGGTGTGCATGTGTGTAAGTGCATGAGTATGTGCATAAACGCATGTGTGTATGTGTGAAAGTGTATGAGTGTGTATGTGTGTAAGTGCATGTGTGTGCATGTGTGTAAGTGAATGAGTGTGTATGTACATGTGTGTAAGGGCATGAGTGTGTGTACATAGTGCATTTGTGTGTGCATGTGTGTAAGTAAATGAGTGTTTATGTGCATGTGTGTAATGCATGTGTATATGCACATGTGTAAGTGAATGAGTGTGTATGTGCACATAAGTGCATAAGTTTGTGTGCATGTATGTGTGGTGTGCGTGTAAATGTAAGTGCATGAGTGCATATAAGTGTGTGTGTGTGTGTGTGTGTGTGTGTGTGTGTGTGTGTGTGTGTGTGTACTACGATGGGTCCAAAGAAAGGCAATATCTGGAGGTTCTACCCAGAAGTCCCTTCATGTCACTTGCTGTGGGGACCACACAGCCACTCAAAACAAAGCCGGGGTCTGAAACCGGATCCATCTGCTCAGAGCCACTCACTGCCGCTCCCCCACAGGCTTCTCCGCAGAGCAGGGAGGATCAGGAAAGGCTGGAAACAGTGGCCAACCCAGTGGGCAGGATGCGGTCACCAACACCGGGTCAGCACACATCACACTTGGTTTGCTGACGTCTCCTTCCCGTGTGCTCCGAAGTCACCAGGGAAGTTAAATCCCCTGGACACTCCTGATGAATCAATTCTAGCAACATAGCTACATCCGAGCGTTAGTGTAGCCTCGAGACCTCAACATCGTATGGCCAGCCAGGCTCCAAGCTCTGTTCCTCATCTCCAGGAGCTCAGCATCCAAAGTGTGACAGAGAGCCAGATGCCTGTCACCCGGGGAGATTCAGCTGGGGCAGGGGAAGCCCTGACTGCGTTTCTGGGAGACTGTATTTTATTTTCCATTTCAGCTTCACGTCCCATCGTTTGCAATCACTGACTCACACGCAGCCCCCATTACATACATGACAGAAAGTAGGTGAGATGGAAGCCCTCAGTCAGCCAGGCGTGGTAGCACACATCCCAACAACCCCAGCACTCCAGAGGCAGAGGCAGGGGGACAGTGACTGTTGCGGGGACCTTGTCTAGAAAAGAAATTCCTGAGTGTTCATGTGCTGAGGCCGTCAAATGGTGCAGCCACTCAGGGAGGAACTACTGTGGTGGTATTGTGTTCCCCAAAATATTGTGCACCCTAATAACTTATCTGGGGTCAGAGACAGAACAGCCACTAGATACAGAGGCCAGAAAATGGTGGCACTCACACCTTTAATCCTAGCATTCCAGAGGTAGAAATCCCTCTGGATCTCTGTGAGTTCAAGGCCACCACATTGGAAACAGCCAGGCATGGTGACTCACGCCTTTAATCCCAAGAAGTGAGTCTTTAACCCCAGGGAGTGATGGCAAAAACAGAAAGGTATATAAAGCGTGGAGACCAGAAACGAGAAGCATTTGGCTGGTTAGGCTTTCAGGCTTCTAGCAGCAGTTCAGCTGAGACCCATTCTGGATGAGGACTCAGAGGCCTCCAATCTGAGGAAACAGGATCAGCTGAGGATCCGGCAAGGTGAGGTAGCTGTGGTTTGTTCTGGTTCTCTGATCTTCCAGTGTGCACCCCAATACTTGGCTCCGGGTTTGTTTTATTAATAAGGCTCTTTAAGATTCCTGCTACAAACCACTCTTAGGCTTTCCTTATGAACTACACACATGGGCAAGGGGGCGACACTTGGTCATACAGTGCTTGCCCCACACACAAGGCCCTAGGTTCTATCCCCAGCACTGCAAACAAAGTTGAAACCTCTCTGCTCATCAGCAACAGCTGAGAAGTAAGTCCTGGCAGGTTTTACACATGCAATGCATGAATGCATGAAAATGATCCCAAGAAACGGAATGGTCGTATACCGATTATTTTGCACATCGGTTCTTCTTTCCACTTAAAACCCAGGATGAGCGTCTTGGCATTCTGGGAAATCTCTGCCGAGTACTGAGTCCCCTCAAATGGCGCACAGGTCCAGTGCACTCGGCCCTTCTCTGGATGGGCACTTAACATGATTTCAATGCTTCGCTGTCGCAAAGACTAATGTCCTAACACACAGATCCCGGTGTCCTTGTGTCGAGTGTCTGACTAGAAATTCCTTTAAGTGACATTGCTGATTCCATGGAAAATTTCAACTGACAGACTAACTTCCTCAGAAAGCAAATCCAATAGAACTGTGTGTGTGTGTGTGTGTGTGTGTGTGTGTGTGTGTGTGTGTGTGTGTATTTGGTACGTGCACATATATGTGGAAGCCAGAAGCCAACCTTAGGTGTCATTCCTCAAGTTCTGTCTACCTTATTTGATGAGACAGGGCTTGTCACTTTACCTAGACCTAACACTCTGGCTGGGCTGGCTGCCACTGAGTCCACAAGATCCACCTGCCTTCAGATCCCCAGTGTTGGGACTCCAAGAATGTGCACTACACGAGGATTTTTTTTTTTAAACGTGAATTTGGGGAATTGAACAGCAGGATTTTTTCTTTTCCCACCTCGCCAGCCCTTGCTCAGGTGCCATAGTGATGGAGATCTGACTGGTACAGCCTTCTTGGGAGCTACAGGCTTGGCTGGGCCCTGGGGGAGGCAGCAAGAGTCTTAGGTCTGGTCCACTGGAAGGCAGAGAATGATCCCTGTCACAAGTGGCTCTTTCACGACTCTCTCACAGACCGAGGCGGCAGAATCAGGTCACACAGCAAGGGCAGGATAGACAGGCGTGGATCTGGAATCCAGAACCTCACGCTGTCCATTCTGAGCCATGTCTGGCACCCAGGCTGGGACTTGTGATGTAACCCTGCTCAGGTGTGCGGCCCTGAGATCCTCAGCACAGCACCCTGCCACCAGCCTCAACCAGGTTGTCTCACCAGACAACGGCCAACTCCAGAGCAGGTGGCTCTGCCTTGTGACTGAGCTAGGTAAAGACATCAGCTCGTGACCAAACCAAAGACACGTCTCTAGCAGTCCCTGTGCCTTAGTTTCCTCATTTGTCAAGCAGAGGCAATGACTCTTAAAAATTCCTCTAAAGCGGAAATGTGATATCATAGGACAATTGCCCCATGTTTGCAAGCACACATCCAAACACCGCCCTTGACTCTCTCTGATCGTCAACTCATTGCTTTCAAGCAAGGGCTGGTCCCGTGCTGGTTGGCTTTGGCAGTGACCCAATGCCCTCCTCCCTCACCTCTTCCCCTCTGGTATCCGCCTGTCTTCCCCAGCACAGAGGTACCTGGCAGGTTGAAGTTCTTTTTCTGTCTCGTGCACTGTGGGGAAGGGTGCAGGGGAGAAGGCGGCGTGGCACTGGGAGGGAGGGGGGGTGCTGGTGAGGAGGGCGTGGAGGACGTCGTGGACGAGGGGTTGCTGCTGGAGTCTGGCTGGTAAGGGACAGGGATGTGGTCCTGCGGAAAGAAAGACAGGGCAGGTGTCAGGGACGGGTGGGGTCGCAGAGACACAGCAGACCGGGATGGGCTAGGCAGGAAGGGGCTCCCCAAGCCAGCCTCCTCAGCCATGGCTGCCCCTTCTGCAATTGTTAGAGCCTTCCAGAGTCTAGCCTAGTTCAGTGAGAGACCCTATCTAAAATAATAATAATAATAATTAATAATAATAATAGATATGAAGTGACACAGGAAGACACTTGAAGTCAACCTGTGGCCTCCACAGGTGCACACAGCCCAACACATGCACACGCACACAGACAGAACACCTGAGCAAGACAATGTAAAGGCTGCCCAGAGCTGTGGAGGGAAGTTTCTGGAGTCACATTCCCGCTTGCTGCTGGAACTCCAGGCAGGAAAGGTTGCCACTTAATGAAATCTGCGGAGGTGCCAGCCACACACTCCGTGCCTCTTTGATCTGGAGGGCCCCATGCCGAGGTGCCCAGAGAACTGTCCCTTCTCTGACACGTCTCCTCCCAAGTGTTTATTAAAGAATCAACAGCTTGACGGCACCAGCGAGTGTGGGCGGGAGCCTCCAGCATCTTCCCCCGGCATGCAGCTGGGACCTGCATTGCCTGTCTTGCCCTCAGACCAGCTTCAAGGCGAGGGCAAAGATGGTGTCCTTAAGTGCATGTACGGAATGCCCTTGCTGGATGGACTTAAGAAAGCAGGCCAGCGGGTTGAATGTGCCCTCCCGCAAGACGTCACCCAGAAGGTTAGAATCCAATCCCAGTTAGAATAAAAGTCAGTTGTTTCAGATGTAACAAAGATCTAGAGACAGGATTGGGTCCTGACTCTAAGGACGAAGATCCTCCTGAGAGACAGGAAAGGGGAGATACAGAGAAAGAAGAGCAGGTGAAGACAGCTGCAGAGACTGAGGTGATGTCACCAGCAGTCAAGGAGTGCAGAAGCCACTGGAAGCTGGAAGAGGCAGTGGGTCCCCCTTCTGAGCTTGAGAATATGACAGCTTCAGCAGGGCTGAGTAATACTCTACTGTATGGATGTACCACACTTTGTGAATTATTGTCCAGTGGGGGCCATCTAAGTTGCTTCCTGGTCAGGATACTTTCGGTGTGTGAGGACAAAGCTACTGTGGATATTTATGAAGAGGCTGGTGTGAACGTATGTGGTTCTCTAGAGTGGCTGCACTGTTTTGTATCCATACTCCACAGTGAGCAGCTTTCTCTGTGTCCTAGCCAGGGCTTGGTGTGCCATGATTTCTTATTCAAGCATGTGATAATGGTGTGTCCTGTTGGTTCATAGTGAGAGTCCTCTCCTGAGCCTGCTTGTCCTCTGGATATTGCTTTTGGTTTTGATTTCTGTAGCTATTCACTCAGTTTGGAAATTGGGTAGAATTTATTCTGTTTTCAGTTTGTTCATATATATATATATATATATATATATATATATATATATATATATATATAAACCTTTTGGTTATTCTAACTACTTCACCTTTTCATATTATCTTTAGAATGACAGGGTCTAAGGCTAGAGAGATGTAAAGTGTGCATACTGCTCTTCCGGGGGACCCAAGTTCAAGTCCTAGCACCCACATCATAAGACTCACAACAGCTGTAGCTCCAGCTCCAAGGAATCCAGCGCCCTCTTCTGGCTTCCTTGGGCATCTGCACTTCATGTGCACACACCTACCTCAACACAATTATAAAATAAAGCTTTAACAACAAATTCCTGGTGTCACTCGGGTCAGGGAACCCACCTGACTCGAGGCCATGCTCCAGGTCTACTTTCAGAGAGCCCAGCTCCTTGAGAGTGATCGCTGTGGCCTCTTGGCTATATCCTTCCAGCAGCTCACTTTGCGGAGCTGGGTAGGTAGGGCTCTGCTCCTCGCAACTGCAACAAGCCAGCATGCAGCATCTCCCGACCCCGGGCTCACAGCAGGAAGATGCACGGCCTCTGCTGCCACTGCAGATGCCTGTTTGGATGCCCTGACGTAGGGGACGAGGGCTAGAGGCTGGTCCCCGAAGGAGCTGGCAGACACTATTGACTTCGCTTGTCCGGCTTCTCTCTGTATCCTGTCTGTCTTTATCTTCTCCATTTCCTCCTTCTCCGTCCATCACTTCCTCTTCTTTCTTCTTCTGCTCTTTCTCATCTTTTATTCCTGTCTCGTTCCCATTTTCCCTCATCTTTCTTCTCTGTTTCTTCTTCCTCTACCTTCTCCTTCCTTCTCCCCTCCCTCCTCTGTTCATTACATTACTGTTTCCCCCTCCTCTTCCCCGTCCTCCCCTACTTCTCCTACTCTTCCTCCTCCCCCTCCTCCCCCTCCTTCATCCCTGAGCACCTTGTGCTGGACCAAATGCTTTACACACACCACACATCCAATCCTCTCAACAACCCCTCCTATCACCTGGCCCATTTTACAGGGGGAGAAACTAAGGCAAATGCACTTTGAACCGGCCTGATCACGGCAACGCAGCAAGTTAAGGAGCCGTGCCACAAACCCAAGCCTTCTGCCTCCAAAATTCACCTTCTGCCCGCCTGCCAGGTGAGGAAGCAGGGTCTCTATGAACCAGAGAGGAGGAACTCTTCAGAGTAAATTGGCTGAGAAATCAGTCCCCAAACCACATCACTGACTGATGATGAGAATCTGCACAAAGCCAGTGAAGACAAAAACAGGGCGAAAAATAACCCAGCCCGATGGAAGAGCCTGTCCACCTCTGTGGCGAAGCCGCTGACTGCATAGAGGCCAATTTCTGTCCCTTCCTAAGTGGCCCTGCTGGCAGACACGCAGAACAGTGTCACTGTGGCTCATCCATCTGACCCGTGTCTTTGTCCCGTCTGACATCCAGAGGCTCCAGCGCTGGTTAAGCCAGACAGAAAGGTCTCGGAGTGGCTTTGAGCTCCTGGCCCCTGATGATGTCACCGAGGAAAAAGATGGGTCCTAAGATATGCACAGTCACTTCTGGAAGAACACGGCACCTTCTTTCCTTTCCTCTGTCCTCCCTTCAGTCCTTCCTCCTTCCCTCCCTCCTCCCTGCAGTACCACAGATGAAAGGCAGAACTAGCCAAGTTCTCGTCCACTGAGACTTCCAGCCCTGAGACTTCTAGAAACAACCAAAGGAAATGGCCCCGGACTTGACATTTTGCACGAAGCCCCAAGATCAAAGGCAATGCTTGTTAGGATTCCCCGGATATCTATTAGGCACCGGGAAGCACACAGAGCATTTTCAGATGCCGGTTATTTAATCTCACCTCGGGGACAGCTCTCCCAAGTTGGCGCTCTTAACAGCCACTGTGAGCATCAGAAAGCGGGGACCCCAAACCCCTTCCCGATGACAGCTGGCATCTGCCTTGCCTGACCTCAAGCCCTGCAACATGCAGGTGCCCCCTTCGTAAAGAACAGTGGGAACGGCACTGCTGAGGTCTCACGAGCCATCATGTAAGAAACAGACGCCATGAGGTGGCCATACTGAGGGAAGAAGAGCCTCCCGGCTGCCATCCTGGCTGACTTCTCTGCCAGGAACAGACTCCTCCCAACCCAGGCACCAGACATGAGAGTGAAGAAGGGCTATAAAACAGTAAAACACGTGATGGTGAATATTTCAGGCTTTTCAGACTTCCTGGGACTCATCAGCCTTGCTCTCACCCCAGCGGGAAAGTAGCAACCCACAGTGTGGGTGTGGCCCGAGTCCCACAAAAACAAGGAGTGGGCTGAACTTGATGTCTAGATGTTACTAGCCACCAGGTGGAGGGGTTTTCCCAATAGAGTCTCTGGATATTCTAAGGCAAAGGCAAAAGCATCCACCCCATGGTGCGCTGAAGGCTACAAGCATAATAAAAGTGTGGTTACTGTATACCGCTAATTTGGGGATGGTCCATTGTGTAGCAGTAGACAGCTGGAGCCTGTCCATTTTATATAGAGGGAAACTTCAGGTCAGAGAGGTTAAGTTACTTGCCCACAGTTTCACAGCCAATAGGGCTCGCTGCCAGTTTGCCCTGACCCCAGGTCACAGGTTCTTTCAAACGCTGGGATGATGTGACAAGGAGCCAGAAAGTGACTGCACCAAGAATTAGCAATAAAAAAAATGACGGCCAATAGCCACAGGGCAAGTGGAAGTAGACTAGGCTTTGGAGGGGACCGTGGGAGGTCAGACACAGAGGGTGGGAACCAAATGAAAACACAGCCCTTGAGCCTGCTCGAAACAACGTGTCTGAAGCTGGATGGGATGGCACACGCCTGCAATCTTGGCACTCAAGAGGCTGAGGCAGGAGGATCTCAAGTTCATGGCCAACCTGAGCCACACAGTATGACCCTGTCTCAGGAAAAAAGAAAATAAAAAAAAACATTTGGACTGGGGGATGGTTCAGTGGTTAGAGCGCTTGCTGTACACGTCAGAGGACCAGAGTTTGGATCCTCAGAACCTGTATGTAAGTGCTGGGTTATCAGTGGA